TACGATGAGGCTAAGGAAATATTTTTGAAAATTTAATTTTTTGAGATCCGCCTGCCATGCATGACAGCTACTGGCAAAAACCTCCAAAGGGGAGGTTAATGTCCAGGAGTGGACAGTTAAAGCCCGATATGACGAAGATGTCTTTTTGAGAGGATAAATCAGGGCTGAAACTTGTTATGGAGGTTTGTTATTATTAAACTTGGAAACAATTAAACATATGATCAACACGGGAGTCAATGATATGTAATAGGGAACAAATTATATGTACCTACACAACGACTAAATGTATCGAGCACTAACGCTTACTGCATGGCAATACGGATATACAATCATTTGCCTGAAAGTATCGGGAATTGTAATAATTTATCCTATTACAAAAAAAAAATGCTCTTCAAGCTATTTATGGATAAATGTTATTACTCAGTGAATGAGTTTTTAAATGATAAAATAATTATAAATGATTAGATATGTGTTCGCTTTGTGTTGTGTATATTTTTAATGAATTTATATTACAATGAATTGACATGAATAGATACAAAAAGTGACAAAATATTATTGCAAATGTTTATGTTATTATGATGAAATTATTTTGATGTTTTGTATAATAAGTTTTTATATTTGCACGCCTACAGTGTGGCAGAATAAGATTGGACTATTTTTCTTGTAAAGTAACACATATAAAAATGTACCTTATTCCAGCAAATAAATGATTTCAATTACAATACTTTTTTTTTTTTTTTTTTTTTTTTTTTTGGATGAATGAAAATGGTATGACCTGCGCTAACGGTATACACTGGCGGAGCACCAGTGAAGGGTGATAGATGAGAATGAAAACAGGCCAGTTAGCCCATCATGATGAATTCATCAGGAATTAACCATGATAGTTTCCAGGGGGAACAGCGAGGAGGTCGACCTGGTTGGGTATATTGCTAGTAATGGGATTCTCAGTCTCCATTACTAGCAATCCCTTTCCCCCCAATTTCAATACTATTGACTGCAAAATTAATTGTCCCACTGTTCGTCCCTTTAAATATAATGATAGAAATTATCTCCTAGATTTATAGAAACGATATTAAACAGGTTCTGCCCCTCAAATAACTGGCGACTATTTTAGCTCACTTATTTTTTTTTTATACAACTTAGAATGGCAAGCAAGCTGACGGCCCACCTGATGGAAAATGCTAACCGTTGCCTATAGACATGAACAGTACCATGGACATAACAGAATATACTGTTTCGCCCATGATACCCCCCATGCGTTGCCATTCCTGAGGACTCAGGTGTTATTCCTCAGTACCCAGTAAATTCACGCCAAACTTGTACCACACCTCACCGATAAATTACAGATTCGTATTTTCTTTTCACTTGATATGTGTTTATGTATATATTGCATGTGTCTCTGTTATATTATATACTAACTTAACATTCATATTTGTCTTATTATTGTTTGTTATTCAATTTTATCGTATAGACACAATAATACCTTCAATTTTTGAACGTCGACATTTGGGAAATCACTAAATTTATGGAACAAGTTTTAACATTTTTGGAACATCATTCCCTGGTTAAAACAGATGAGGAATGTTGACCATAATTTTTGGAGCAAAGTAATTGATTCTAATGATTCTTTAAGTAATAAAAAACTAGTTTATCTATGAGTAAGAGTACCTATATTATTTTCAACCGACTTAAAATAAGAATGATCTCAATTTTAATAGGATTTATTTTTATATGTGTCAGCCCATAACTCCGTCAGTTATAAATTGATTTTAAACTTAATTCTTTCTTATCTGAAAGTCCAAATAAGTTCAATAGTTTACCTCTTAAACAAAAGTGATATTTAAAATGAAAGCTTATTTACTCTCCAACTTTGCTAAAACAGCAGAATATAAACGTAAATATTTACATTTGAGAACCAAATGTAAAGTATCACACACGAACCTAAGAGCTTTAAGTGGTACTAAAAAATCCATAGTTTTTTTTTAATGTATTTGCATGGTAATTAAATTTAAAAAAAAATGTATTTTTATTATATAATTAATTGCCACAATTGAAGGCTGTTTTTATTTATTTATTTATTTATTTTATCAACTGAGTGAGCGTTACAGTCTCCCATAATTTCACCCAGGAAAGTTATTAGTACAATAATATGTATGTACAATTAAATATAATAAAATTAATTAGATTTTTGTAGAATCAATCTTGTGGAAGACATTCTTAATTTATTTTATTCACGGAAATTTCCGTGGGGCTTCGCTCGCGCGAGTGAAGTTACGGTAACCGGCTAGTATTTTCAATAAAGTGCAGTGACATTTGGCTTCGCTCCAAACTGAATATTTGAGTTCAATTATAGAAGCTAAATATTCACGCACAACTGTCATAAAATAAACTTTCCTTTGTTATTGTTAGTGGAAGATATTGAGAGGTGACCTCTCATGGCTGCACTAGTGGAATTATTGTTTTTTTTTTTTTTTATAAAACACATTTATTAAAAGTAAGAGCTTGTTTGCCCCCCAATGGAGCTTTTTTCACCAGCCATTAATGGTAAACGAACTAACGGCCAGCCTGAACTTCCAACTAGCCGTCGACTATAGACATAAACAGCAGAATGTACATCAAAGAGGGAGACTTTGTACAAAAGTCGATTGCTTGAGTACCTGTGTCCCATTCGTGTTTCTACCGTGAAACAGTTGTTTGCATGGCTGTGTTTCGGTTTGAAGGGTGGGATATGGCGTGAATTTACTGGGTACGGAGGAATAACACCTGAGTCCTCAGGAATGGCAACGCATGGGGGGTATGATGGGCGAAACAGTATACTCTGTTATGTCCATGGTACTGCTCATGTGTATAGGCGACGGTTACCACTTTCCATCAGGTGGGCCGTCAGCTTGTTTGCCATTCTAAGTTGTATAAAAAAAACTAACAATCCCTACCCCCTTGCTATGCCTGTCTAATAATTTCATTGCCATATCCTACCCTATACTTAGACCGCAACACAACCATCAAGCATAGCTGCTTGGCGGCGAAAAGACAACTATAAAAGAAGTTTAATATTCAGAAAGATGTGAACAAGTAATTCGTAAATACGTAATGTTTTATTTTTTTATATATTGTATAGTTTATATCCCTTTGAATACTTAACACTTCTTTGCATGATTTTTTTTATTGGTGAAATCAAAGTCATACCTATAATCAAAGTGATATAATTTATGTTTAAAATTAAAGGAAAAATGGGTAAAACAATAAATTTGACAGCTATGTTTTTTCTTTCTGCAATGGACATTAAAAAAATATCCAGACACAATCAACTTAAAGTGAACTTCGTTTTTTATAATAGTTTTAGGCATTCAATGTTACGATGGAAATTTCCACCAGTATGCAAAGAAAGCTTAATTACCAAACTACAGGATAAACTAAAGGACTATTATTATTAATAAAGTAACGTATTTTCATTAAAATTTAAATGTTTCAGTGTGAAAGGTGGAATATGACAATGAAATTTTTGGGTCCATACCCAACAAGCATAACACATCAGTCCTTAGGTATAGCAACTCATCACGTATGATAATTCGTTGTTGGATTGAGAGGGTTTACTCCTGTCTTAAGCTCATATTATATTTTGTTACTATAGATTTTATTATTTTTTGCCGGATTGTTCCAAACAAAAAAATAATTGTTCAATCTTGACCAGGTTTTTCTTTTGATGGATGAAAATGGTATGGTAACCCCGCCTGCGCTAACGGGATACGCTGGCGGAGCACCAGTGAAGGGTGATAGATGAGAATGAAAACAGGCCAGTTAGCCCATCATGATGAATTCATTAGGAATTAACCATGATAGTTTCCAGGGGGAACCGTGAGGAGGTCGACGTGGTTGGGTATATTGCTAGCAATGGGATTCTCAGTCTCCATTACTAACAATCCCTTTCCCCCCAGTCTTGACCAGGAAGGTGATTACAAGTATGATACAAACACCAAAAGAGATAGACAGATACTCTTTATTGTTTCCTTCAAAAGATGACAATAGTAAAATTATTATAGATACAAATAATTACAAGAAATGATCACAGTGAGAAAACAATAGGCGACCTTATCGTTAAAAACAATCTCTTGCAGGCAACCTTTAGATGGAGAGGAGTAATTATAAACAGTTTAATCGGATGCATGATGAAAATTCGAGTAAACCTTTCCTAAAACCTTGTAAAATAATTTACACTAGCTTCTGTAATACAAGTTATTGATCCCTGGCGTCTAGCACAACTGAAATTTTCTATTGAAATTCTAGAAGTAAAAGGTCTTTATTTCTGTTTTCGTTCATTGCCCTTTACAATAGTATTTTGTCTTCTACGGTCATTGTAAGCTCTCCTAGGTTACTTCATAATTACCTGAATCATAAATGAATTAGTGATTTCAATAAAACATAGAGTATTATGAAAAGACAGTTTCAACATCATTCCAGAATGCACCTTCATGGAGGAGGTACCTACCTAGGTAAGTAATTTTCATGGAAGTTTTAGGACAACCATACAACCCCCATTTAAAACTAGACACCACATACCTACTAACAGATACAGAAGAGAGTTATCTCTCAGTGTCCTTTCCAGAAGACGCGAAAATACCTATACATCATTCCTTTAAATCGCTTTTAAGTTTAAATTTGTATATTACACTGTTTGGTACTAACAATATAATTCTAGTTGTAGATTTTTTAAATCAAGTTGTAGATTATATAAAAATATTATATCTATTGGTAATTAGTACAATATTACTAGTAATGTCTTAAAATAAAGCAGTAATAAAGTACGAAAGGAAGATTTATTTGCTGCATTTCGTTACTATTACTGCCATCTATTAATAAAAGCATAATATGTTTTCTTTTTAAAACATTGCTACTGAACGCTAGATGGCAATACACTTTGTTCATAATTCTGTACTGGCTGAATAGTTCTTATTCCCAGATCACGGTCTTTACTTTTTAATGAATTTGCAAATGTCATAAAAACGCAGATAACTTCACATCATTACGTGCTACAAATTTGAAAGATGGCTGCTGTAAAGTTTGCAGTTATTGATGTAAACGATTTTCTATCTAAAAAACAGTCCGCTGAACCAGATTTAGCCGCTGACTGGGCTAAATTAGAAGAACTTTATAATAAAAAGTAAGTTTTTGAATATATCTAATTTATCGATTATTCACATCATAACAATACTAACCTTACTCTTTGTTTTTCAGATTATGGCATCAATTAACTCTAAAAGTACAGGAATTAGTGAATCAACCATCTCTAAAATCAGGAGACAACCTAATACAGCTGTACAATAACTTTATAAATACTTTTGAAAACAAGTAAGTGGCATACGATTACTCTATACTTGCAAGTCATAATGTTTATTTTTATAAATTGCTTTGTACATCAACTACTTTGCAATCTTTAGTTGTGTGGCTGGTCTGAGTACATATTTTTTTCGTGTTTTAGTCTGATGTGTAACTAGTACAATTTAACAGTAGACAATATTTTAGCTCTCTGTAGCAGCATATAGGAGATTATTATTTTTCATCACATGGCCCATTTCGTAATTTTCAAATCTATAAAAATAGGTTGTCTGTACCTACTGAAATCTTAGGTCAAGTTGAGATTTTTAAATGGGTGATAATGGTATTGTAACCTCACCTACGCTATTGGTAACACTGGTGAGGCACCAGTGAGAAATGACAGGTGAGGATGAAAGTAGGTCAGTTAGCCTATCCTGACGAATTCAACTGGAATTAAACATGATGGTTTCTAGGAGGAACCACATGGAGGTTGACCTGATAAAGTATATTACTAGTAATGGAGCTATTTGACCCCATAACTAAGAATCCCTTTCCCCCTGGTCAAGTTGAGGTGAGATTGGGTAGAGAATTAGTCTTTTATTTACACTTATATGTATTTTCTTATGTGAAGAACCTTATAACTACCTTTGTAAGAACTCATTTATGACTATCATAATAATTGCTTATTAATGAACTTTCAGAATAAACCCTCTCTCTTTGATCGAGATTGTTGCACATATTGTGGAGCAGTACCCAAACAAAAAGGATGCTATAGCATTCCTTGAGAAGATGGAGACTAAAGTCAAAATGAATGATGAAGCACTCGCACTGTGCAAGGTAATTTACTTATTTTTTTTTATACAACTTAGAATGGCAAACAAGCTGATGGCCCACCTGATGAAAAGTGGTAACCGTAACCTATAGACATTTTGCCCATGATACTGCAATATGCGTAGCCATTCCTGAGAACTCAAGTGTTATTCCTCTGTACCCAATAAATTCACTGCCATATCCCACCCTTTAAACTAAAATACAACTATGCAAACACAATTGCTTCATAGTAGAAACACCAAAGGGACAAAGGTACCCAAGCAAAAGACTTTTATACAAAGTCACCCTCTAGTAAATTTTTATTAGTAAGATCATTAGTTTTCCAAAAATATACATAATAATATGAATTGGTTAACTTATAACAGGTCTCCAAGCATTCTTATAGGACATATAACAAATAAAATGGGCAATAGTAAAGGGAAAAAATTTACATCATACCTACAACTAGCAACACTGAATTTATAACTTTTATGTAAATTTTAGGTCATAGCAATACTAGGAATTTGTTTATGTACAAATCTTAACTGTAAAGCCTTGTTTTTGTATGTAGTGAGAAAAGCTTAAATAAATTATATCTCTGTCTAATCTAATCAACAAGGGACTGAGGGGGGAAAGGGATTGTTAGTAATGGAGTCTAATTAATCCTTTGCTAGCAATACACCCTATTAGGTTGACCTCAATGCAGTTCCCCCTAGAAACCGTCATGGTTAATTTTAGTGGAATTCATCACAATGGGCTAACTCACCTGCCTTTTCATCCTCACCTATCATCCCTCACTGGTGCCTCGCCAGCGTATCCCAATAGCGCAGATGGGGTTACCTTTCCATTATCACACATTAAAAAAAAATCTAACAAAGGACATGTCCTGAAAGCATATGAAACTAAATAGTCTGCTTTTTAGTGAATTGTGTTTATTTGTTAATAAATGTTACATGGAAAATCTATTGCAATTCTTGGTCACTATTTTGTCTTATATGGTTTATTTTTTTTTAATGGGTGATAATGGAATGGTAACCCGCCCGCGCTATCGTTATACACCGGCGGGGCACCAAAGAAGGATGATAGATGAGGATGAAGCAGGTCAGTTAGTCCATTGTGACAAATTCAACAAGAATTGTTCACTATGTTTTTCCAAGGGGAACCACGTGGAGGTGAACCTGATAGTGTATTGCTAGCAATGGATTCATTAGACCCCATTACTAACAATCCCTTCCCCCCTGCCTTATATGGTTGGGACATTTCATATTTTAGTTTCAGTCAAATAAAAGATTAATTCCTAATAAATTTTGTTTATTAAATTAATAACTACAATATTTTCCCCATCAAATCATAACAAATTTTTTAAATAAATAAATAAATTGTAGGTAATGGTTTTATAATTGTATTGTATTATAAAATCTTTATTGTACATAATTTATATTGGACACATTAAAATGTTTAATATACAATGGCGGACTTATCCCATAAAGGGATCTCTTACAGTCAACCTTTGGAAGCTGAAAGAAAAGTGTAGAATGTACAAGGGCAATAACCGTACAGCTAAAGATAAACTCAATAATATCTAGTGAAAAATTGGGATTGTATGGTTGACTTTTCTCCTATTTATACACAGCCCTACATTTCTTATCCACCCTCTATATAATTTTATCAATGCTAAATTACATACCACCTGAAATAGGCGTTAATTGAAGTAACATGTAATAAACTATGTTGCCATTTAATTACTGGTGAGATTCTGGTCAACTTTCGTGATTTCATATAGAAAATAATTTATGGAACTGAAATTTCCAGGTACTCCAAGGTCAAATCTACTTGGAACAGCTGAATGACCTGGACGCCACAGAGAAGATTATAGAACAACTGGAGGGCACCCTGGAAGACGCTGATGGAGTGACACCTGTACATGGAAGGTTTTACAAGTTAGCTTCGGAATATTATAGGTATGGACTCTAGTTACTGGGTTTTTTTTAATGAATGAAATGAATGGTAACCCTACCTGCGAGGGATGATAGGTGAGGATGAAAAGGCAAGTCAGTTAGCCTATTGTGATGAATACACTTGGAATTCAGCATGATGGTTTCCAGGGGGGACCACGAGGATGTTGACGTGTTAGAGTATATTGTTAGCAATGGGACTGATAATCCGCATTACTAACAATCCCCTTCCCCTCTCTAATTACTGGGTTAGGATTAATATTGTCAAACAAAGAAAGACATAAGTTTAAAACTAAAAATTTTGCATTTAATTCTCTATGAAGTTCTAGCATAATTAATTTTTTGTAGTGTTCATGTTTTGATTCAATTTGATTGTTAAGAGTAGTACAAATCACCGGAGCTAATCAGAAGTCTCGATTTTAAACAATTGTTCTCTATTCATTTATTTAGTAGATACAGCTTTGCAACTTAATGTTAAAAATTAATACATAATAAAGATTATTTCTTGATTACTCATTAGACAGACACAGAAAATTGTGCCATTGTTTTGGCAGTTAATTTCGAGGTTGCCACACTTGGATAAGCGTGGGTAAGAATGCTCGTAAAGAGTGTGGTGTGGTGCAGGGTGCGCGGGCCGCTGGCGCGGTACTACCGCGCGGCGCTGCGCTACGTGGGCTGCCGCGGCGGCGGCGCCGAGCTGCAGCCCGAGCAGCGCCGCGCCTGCGCACTGCGGCTGGCGCTGGCCGCCGTGCTCGCGCCCAACGTCTACGACCTCGGCGAGCTGGTAACGCGCTCTGCTAGCTTGCTGCCCTCCGCTACAAACTTCATTTCCACAAATGTCACGAGTGCCTCCCTCTATGAATATTTAACATTCCATGTTTTTTTTTTACTAGTCCCAAGTAAAAATTGTAGGTTCATAACTATATAATTATGTACAATGATATAATTTATATTTTAATATTTCTATATAAATTTGGAATTATGAAGTAAATTGCAAAGTGTCTAATAATAAAAATATATTTACTTGCCCGTTCATCTAACCATCTATCCCTAGAAAATGAGCAGTAGTGATATATCTGGTAACCCTTAATAACCTGTGGATTGCTGCTAAATTTTGTTAGAGTTGCCAAATGAATGGACAGTAGTCTCAAAAAAATCCTGATGTTGAGTTAGTTATGATACTATGTTCAGCTGGCGCACCCGATCCTTGAGTCGCTGGAAGGCACATCAGACGCATGGGCATGTGCCCTGGTGCGCGCGGTGGCGGCGGGCGACGTGGTGGCCTTCGACCGCGTCCGCGCCAAGGCGCCGCACCCCGACCTGCAGCGGGCCGACAGGCAGTTGAGACAGAAGATTGCTATCCTCTGCTTGATGGAGGTCAGTTAGTAATTATCACATACATTTAACTAACCTTATTTACAAAATCAGTGTATGTCACAAAACACCTTAAACTGCGTACATTTAACAAATAACCTTTTATTAACTTTTTTTAATAATAATAATAAATAAATATATATAAATAAATAAATAATAATCATTTATTAACAAAATATTGATGATTGCCAGTAGCAGATCTTAAGTTATTGTTAAGTTGTTCAGCAATATTTACCATTTCGGTGTGTAAATGTTTTTTTTTTTTTTTTATAATATTATACATTTTTTATCATTTTAAGTGATCACAGTGGACCTTGGGGTTTTAATAATCATCCACAACAAGTACACTACTATTATCCGGTGCGAAGGACTAATGTTTCGGGTATTAAATATTGGTCCCTCAAACCGTAATTTTTAAACAAACGGCCACACTTAAAACGCGAAACTTAGCTCATTTAGGATTTTGCAATATATTTTCATCTTGCATTGTCAAAAATATTGTATGATAGAAAATCCTTATAAATAAATAATGTGGATGACTTTATTTTTTAATTGATGAATTAGTTTGTAGTAACTCATAAATAATCAAATATTTCACGTTACTTTCAGATGGCATTCAACCGCACATCAGCACAACGCAAGCTGACATTCAGCGAGATAGCGCGCGAGGCTCGCGTGCCTCACGACGAGGTCGAGTTGCTGGTCATGAAGGCTTTGGCTGAGAAACTAATACGAGGTCATATTGACCAGGTTAGTGATGTTATTCACTATTTAATATTGTTATCTAGTAAGCATTTAGAGAAGGAATTTCCATTCCAAGAATGAATTTTAAAAACTGTTTACATAAGAGTTTCTCTTTACCTTTTACTTTGTACAAAAGGCATACACGTACATTAAAAATTATGTATTTGGCATCAATTATTTATTGGCATGGTATAGGGGTGAGTCTTCAGGAATGGGGGGGGGTATCATGGGGGAAACTGTATCATACATTGATTTCAGGTGGGGATGGTTGTCATTCTAACACATACTAAAAAAATTCACTTTGTATTAAACATAGATATATAATATAGTTTTTTGAATAATAATGTATATTTCAGAAGTAGGAAACTGAAATTGATCGATTTCTTTTAGATATATTACCATTAAGCTATAGATTTTAAGCTAGACCTTCAGGAGCATAATTGTGAAAACTGCATCAAATTTTGTGCTGTTATTTTTTGCGTCATGCTAGAATAAACTAACAGTGGGCGGAGCGCGTACTCGCCACGACTCATATGCACAACGGCCCAAATGAGAGGCTGAGCGCGGAAAAGAGAATCTACATTACGTTACCATCAATAGTAGTGATGTTTTACATACATATACCCATTTAAAGACGCTCACACACACACAACACATACACAATCTAGTAACTATTATTATGATGTGTATTATAGTGTAGTTTTTTTATTTTTATTTCCTTTTAAATTTTATAATTACTCTAGCCACGACGAATTTATATCGCTAAATCAGTGAAAACCTGTTATTGGCTTTTTTATTGATAAGTTGTTATTGTTTTAAGCTATAAATTGTAAGCTGTTGGTTTTCCAATAAATAAATAAATGTGTGTGTGGGCAGGTGAGCGAGAGCGTGCAGGTGCGGTGGGTGCGGCCGCGGGCGCTGCCGCGGGCGGGCGCGGCGGCGCTGGCCGGCCGCCTGGCCGCCTGGGCCGCCGCCGTCGCCGCCGCCGCCGACCTGCTCGCCGCCGCCGCGCCGGACCTGCTCACGTGAGCCGCCGCCGCCAGCTACCAGTGAGCTTGCTAGTCAGTAGTGAGGTTGATCTTCATGCGGTTCCCCCTGGAAACCATTGTGATTAAATCTTGTTGAATTCATCACAATAGGCTATATGACCTGCTTTCATTCTCACCTATCGTCTCTCACTGGTACCACGCCAGTGTATACCAACAGCGCAGCTAGGGTTACGATGTCATTTAATCCCATTAAAAAAAAGACCTGCTCACTTGGAAATAAGCGGAAACACTACAGTCCCTTTTTTTCCAGTGTTACCACTCTTAAAGACGTAACGTTAATAATTTTTTTTCCTTTAATGCTAGAAAAGGGTGTGTGGTCCAAGCAAAGAATGGACCATTCCTTCCGTTCCTGTGGGTGTTGTAAGAGACAACTAAGGGAACGCAAATCGAGGGATAGGAACAGCATCCCTCTTAAAACATGACCAAAACCTAACTGCTCTATTCGCTGCCAAGTGTAGCTACTACTGGTAAAACCCCCCAATAGAGGGCTCATGTCCAGCAGTGGACAGTTAACAGCTGATTTGATTAATACCTTTCATATACCAGAGAGAGACTTTGTACAAAAGTCGTTTGCTTGGGTACCTCTATCCCATTCGTGTTTCAACCGTGAAGCAGTTGTGTTTGCATGGCTGTGTTTCGATTCGAAGGGTGAGATATGGCGTGAATTTACAAGGTACAGAGGGAATAACACTTGAGTCCTCAGGAATGGCAACGCATGAGGGGTATCATGGGCGAAACAGTATACTCTGTTATGTCCACGGTACTGCTCATGTATATAGGCTTCGGTTACCACTTTCCATCAGGTGGGCCGTCAGCTTGTTGCCATTCTAAGCTGCATAAAGAAAATATTAATAAAATAATGATAACAATATTGTTTACAGGTAATCATGGTTCGTGGTTGGAATACAGTTGCAAGTTTCACACCATCAGCATTATGGAACATTTGAAATAATTCTATATAATATTACATTAACTGTCTACTTATCTCTAACGTTTAAAAATAGATATTGTAATAAATATTTCACATAAATTCTGTGTTTTTATATATAAAAAAGAAAAAAAAAAACTTTTTTTTCTCTCCTTTATAGTTAAGTTGACTAGTTGTTACTCAAACAATTTACTTATCGATTGTTCAATCTATGGCAATATTAGTAAATTATGACGTCACTACAGCAACAATGGGTGTTATCAACATATCCACTGTTGATAAAAATTTAACCACTCCAAATTATTATTTTTTTTTTATTAAAATATTTCTATGACCAGTTATATTTATTAACCAACAATTGTGAGCGCTCCGTCAACGGATGTAAGAGATATAAAAAAGAAATGCTGTAGGAATAATAAAGCAAACGCATTAAATTCGATTTTCGAATTTTTAACGATTTTTTCGCCGCTTGTTGCGGTCAGCACTTTCGAAAGTGAAAATCTTGCCTAAATGTGCAAAGAAACGCCAAAGTCACTTCTGAGAAAAAGATATTAAAGAAGAAAACAAGCGAAATCTTACAAATATAAAAAAATTTAACTAGATGAATTTTCGTTAAATTTTTAAATTAAAATTTATAATTAATTTTACATTACTAGTTGAAGTAAATGATATCTTTACGTGATAGACATTTAAGAAAAAATAGTATGAGTGAGGGGTCTTAGTAATGGGGGGAAGGTAATGTTAGTAATGGGAAGGTTAGCCCTCATTGTTATCAATATACCTTATCAGGTCGACCTCCACACGGTTCCCCCTGGAATGCGTCGTGACTTATTTTACAATAGTCAATTCGGTTTTTCCAAAGGTCGTTCAACTACAGACGCAGGTGCAGAGTTGCTTAGACACGTATTTGCTGCATGGGAAACTAAAATGGATGTGATAGGTGTTTTTTGTGACCTTTCTAAGGCTTTTGATTGCGTTGATCATAATACATTGCTAAAAAAACTTGCTTTTTATGGCGTCAAAGACAATGCTTTAAATTTAATAAAATCTTATCTATCTGATAGAATACAGAAAGTGAAGATTAGCAACGCTACGTCTGACGGGTCACTTGTGCAAATGGGTGTACCTCAAGGATCTATTCTCGGTCCATTTTTATTCCTAGTTTACATTAATGATCTCCCATATGCCATGCAGGATAGATGCGGCATAGTATTATTTGCAGACGATACTTCATTGATTTTTAAAGTTAATAGAATGACTAATAATTATGACGATGTAAATAGTGCTTTGCGGCGTCTCCTGCACTGGTTTACAACTAACAATCTTATGTTAAACGCTAAAAAAACAAAATGTGTTAATTTCTCTCTGTCTAAAAGTTTTAATACTAATTGCAATATTAAATTAAATGACGAATCTCTCGAATTTATAGAATCTACTGTCTTTCTAGGAATCACACTAGATAATAAAACACAATGGGGTGCACAAATTCAAAGCCTTGCAGCGAAACTAAGTTCAGCAGCTTTTGCCGTGCGTAAAGTTAGACAGTACACTGATACTGATACTGCTAGATTAGTCTATTTTAGTTATTTTCATAGTTTACTCTCTTATGGAATATTACTATGGGGAAAAGCGGCAGATATTAAGAATATATTCATATTACAAAAACGTGCCGTTCGAGCGATCTACTGTATGAAGAGTCGTGACTCATTAAGAGAGAAATTCAAAGAGGCAAATATTCTCACCGTTGCTTCTCAATTTATATATTCAAATATCCTATATGTTCATAAAAATCTTGACTTATTTCCAAAAAACAGCAATATTCATAATATTAATACTAGATTTAAAGACAAACTTGCTGTCCCCAAGTATCGTTTAGAAAAAGTTAATAGGTCTTTTATGGGAATAGGTATAAAAATTTACAATAAGATACCAAAGGATATGTTGGAATTACCCTTAAATAAATTCAAAACATCTGTTAAATCATATTTACTGAGCAAAGCCTATTACTCACTAAACGATTACTTGAATGACGAGTGTGCATGGCAATAGTTGTTCATGCACTGAATTTTCATTTAATGTTAGACATAGACACCTATATAAATATACATTGTAAATAAACTGGCTTTTAAAAAAAAAGTAATTCAATTGAGTTTCTTGCCAGTTCTTCTCAGTTGGATCTATATACCGAACTGGACGGTAGGGAAAAAAATAAAATTATAATGTAAAAATTTGACGTTCATAAGCGGCTAAAATGTCCTACATGAATAAATGATTTTTGAATTTGAATTTGAATTTGAATTTATCGTTGAATTCATCACGATGGGCTAACTGACCCGCCTTTTCATCCTCACCAATCATCCCCCATGGTGCCCCGCCAGTGTATACCGATAGCGCAGGTGGGATTACTATTTCATTATCATGCATTAAAAAACGCCAACTAAAAGTGTTACATTCCTTTGATTTACCTGCTTTTGAAGTCAACGCGTTCGATCCTTACATGTAGAACAGTATCCCGTATGATGCCGGAACAGAAAAAAAAATCTTTAAATTATAATTTGATTTCTATTACTATTATTAAGACCCCACAAAGCAATGTTTCTTAAATATCTTACATTTCCAAATATCGTCTATTACAATTTAACTATATTAGTTCTATTATACAGATCGAGTCTTAAAAACGGGTCAACTTTTTGTCAGCTAATTGTCAAATTTGCTGACTCGTTTTTTTTGTCAGTGTTCTATATACTTACACAAAAAATGTATCTTGACGTATTATTTAATAAATAAAATGAGTGTATACGCATTTAAAAGATGCAGAAATTATAAGACAAAATAAATATAGAAGTTATAAAGGAATCACTCATAAGTAGGTATCTATTAAGCAAAATTGTATGAAAAAGTTGACCCATTTTCTCGAAGCATTTCTATAAAGACTATCTATATATCTAAGATTAGTTCTCACTAATATATAGTAAGATCTTAAAGTACGTCATACTAAGTCTACGAGTAAAACAGAACTTAGATGAACAGTGTAGCTTTTAGATTTATATCAAAATAGATTTTAATACTTTACGTTTTTATTTCATTGATCGATATTTTTGTAAGAGAATATGTGTGTAGGATGATTTAGGAAAATGTGATTCAAATCAGCCACATCTATGCCATAGAGGTAAATATTATTTACAACGGAACCCAAAGGCATTTACATCTAACAGAAAGGTAATTTCATTTTTACCGCCATTTATGATGTACATGACAGATGATAATTTATTGCCATGTTAGGAATCTCAATCGATTAATATTTTTATAATTCGATTATATTAATATTTAATTATGTGCATTTATACAAAATAACTAAATCTACCTACGTAAATATTAAATTATATCGCATAATTATGTGATATATTTTTACTGGCAATATAAGTATCAACCGATCCGAAATAAGTACCGAGTCGGCAGCGCGCTATTGCAAATGGCGTCCGCGTGACGGATGTGCGTTAGCTCGCCATCAAAATGCATACAAAATGTGTTAAAAACATTTGAATTCTTTAATTTGCTGTTTGGAACACGTAAAACAGAACTAATACTGGTGAGTAATTGAGTTAAAAACAGTATTACGGCGTTACGTAATGCTTTTTGTTTTTGTTAACACTGCATCCATTGGCTATCTCCTTCATTTGTTATGATTCGCTCCTGTCATTATTTACAATTGCCGACCTATATGCGTCTCTTTCGTTTGCACAGTTTTCTTGATAGGTTTTCATTTTTAAGTACTCGCGCGACTGAGAGGGAGAAAAACGGGGCCCCAATGGAAAAATATGAACAATTTTGTGCTCTTAAAAATTATTGATTTTTCATCGTTAAAAAAACATCGACGAAGACTAATTGCATGAACGCGATGTGGTGCGAGGTCCTATCGTTGTTGTGAGTATTAATTCTATTTTAGTTGGTTTCCCCTATTGGAGGTTGTGGTCATGAAAAATCACATTTTTCAGTATTCTAGAGTCGACCATTGCGTTGTGTGTATTGCGTTTTGATTCGTGATTAACATTTTATGTTTATCATCTATATTTAGGGTCGGTGTAATTGTTTAAATATTGATTTTTTTATTGTGCTCATATATGTGTGAGTCAATCCGAGCCATGCATGAATGTTTATAACATTAGTTGGGGCCTGCGATATCCTATTTTAGGATCGGCCAAATGTTAGCTTTGTGCTTATGATCGTGGCCGAGCCGAAGGAAACACTACAATATTTTTACTTCTAAATTAGTGATTTGTCCTTATTTTTGGATTATATATTTATTTCAATGGTAAGTTGTAAGTTCTTAAGTTTGTTAAAATTTTTATGGAGTTAATGGTTATAGTTATCGGTCAAACAGCCGAACCTAATGTTTACTTCACCGTAAAATGTAAAATTATGATAAGATATAGTGTACTGAGTTTGTGTATCCTATTTAATATTTATGTAATTTTTTGTATTTTCTCATACTATCATATTTATTTTCTAACATATTACATGCCCATATAGAAAAAAATATTTGAAATTAAAAATAATAACAATCATAAAAAAGTTTTTTTAAAACAGACCTACTTTAAAAGTATGTCAGTGTAGTTTATGTATTTACATCTATGTATATGTAGAACAAAATATGTATTTACCTAAATATGAAATTTCAATTTTGATAACAATAAATTACATTAAATTCAAGGATTTATTGTACCTCTTTTTTAATATAATTATTTCCGGTATTATAAGCATACGCAATATTTCTAAATTATTTATTCATAGTATCTCCACTTCTATTTTCTTTTCCTTTTAAGGTAATTTATATATTATTTAATTATTTGCTCTTCTCTAATTTTCAATTTAAAAAAAACCTGATTCATCTGTTCTAATTTTTATTCTTCATTTACGATTTCTTGTTTCTAATTATTGATCTCTCAAATTAGGTAGGCATTTTATTTATGTTCATATACTCAGCGTAAGTACCACCATATATTTTTCTTTTTATGTTTAATAAATATTCAGTTAACAATACTTTGGTAATATATTACAAAGGTTTACTTTCAGATTTCGCTCTTTTATCTCTTATTGTCATTAGTCCGGTTTTTTTTAGTGCCTAGCGATAATACGCTACTTGGATAGAGAATCATAGTGTGTATTCTATAAAATCTCTTTTAAATTTGCATAATATTTCATTTCTAAGATTTTTTGCTTAATACATTCAATTTCAGTTCATACTTACTTCGACACTACCATTAGTTCCCAAAGACCTTCTTTGAATTTGTTATCTATTTATTTTTCCTTTATATTTTATATATATTTTTTTATTTTCTACTATTGATTTTCAGTAATTTGATAATTTGTATATCATTATTAGGTATGTTGACCTTCAGAATGCATCTGTAAACGCATAATATGTCTGTTACATCTGCCATTGTTCTGAAATAACTACATAATGTCTATTGACAATATATCCAGATACAAAGAAACAACCTTATGTATAACTTCATATGTAATCTCATCGTGTCTATATGTAACATATACATATACATACCTACTGTAATTATACAGTAGGTATGTATAGAAAGTGCATCTGCTACATATGTATTTGCAAATAAATCAGGCTTTTAAAGAACACCTTAGTGGATAATGCCAACATATTTTTCTTCAAAACATGTAATTTTTCAGAGGGTTTAAAGTTATGCACTTTATCTTGCTGTAATACTAGATGGTAGCATATATTCTAGATCCTTCTTTGAACTTATATATATTAAAAGTATTTTTTTTTACTAAAAACCAACAGACAAACTCACTGCCTCATTTATTCACATAAATCTTTTAGAATACAAAATGCCACATACTCGTAATAAATCACCACTTATGAGAAGTATGACATGTCACTAATGGCATCACATTTCGAGTATAGGTAACGAATGTTTTTTTGTTATAAACTGCATTGATTTAAACCGATTCACAATGCACGCAATAATATTCTATAGTGGGTGAAATATGATAGGTGTAGAGTACACAGGCTAGTCACATGTAATAATGCTTGAAAAAAAATTGTATTTAAATAAACTAAGTTTCTGGATACAGAGAAATATTTAAAAGGTCATTTGAATTTTAGAGTACGTACAAAATAATAAAACATTCTAATGGGTTAGTCGACAACATTCTAAAATTTGTCTTTGATACTAACATATTTTTTTAGTAAAAGAATCAATTAATTTATGATTCAAATACTGGAAACATTTGGTTACGATGATCAAATAGCAATAGTAAAGTCAAAACAGCTACATTTTCCTGTACCGTCTATCACTATACGAAAGAACTTGTTATCAGTTATCAATGCTATATCTTTATGTGTTGAGTCATAAATGTATGTGATAAACGGTGGTTGGACCTTACTATTTCGCTGTAGCTAAGTCTCTGCTGTAGTGGTTTTGCAATAAGATCGCAAATCTTATTATTACCTTGCAATTAGGGTCCATTTTACGGTTAACAAACTACCTTATGAAACTGCATTGTTCGGAAAAGTGATTCCACTTTATATGTACCATGCTCTTTTATATTTTCAATGTAAAGCAGCAGTACATGCCTTCTTATTTACTTTAAGTAGTAAATAAATACAGTCAGTGCGATCTGTTGCAAAAAAATGTCACAAAATCCTGAGCTAAATGAAAATCGAAATCCAGTTCAGATCCCATTCTTGATGTGACATTTATTAATTAATTTTTTTTACTGAAAAACAAAGTTGTTTTGAATAACATACAGTTTTTCCACCCTGTAAATAATCTAGCAATCTACAAAAAGGCCAGCGAACTCTAAGAGTTCGCAGACAGATTGCTTATTACGATTAACTACTTATAAAGAAAACTTTTTCCTAGAAAAATATAAGAGTTTTATCTTTCATGAATAAACGTTTCCAAAATAAAAAAAAATTAAAAACGTAAACCTAAATGCTGACTAAAATTGTAGAAGGAAAAAGACAAAAGACATAAAGAATATATATTATACCTAAAATGCTTCGCTAATTAAATTAGATGGAGGAAATTTTTTTATCGCAAAGGTAGCTAAAAATTGACTTCATTATTTTTTTTTTGTTTTACAAATCAATAGGTATTTGTTATTTTAATTTTCCTTATACCAGATTTAGATTTTATAGTTATTATTATTATTTATTGTTTTATATTAAAGATAATATAAGTAAGCGATAATTTGTGTTTAATTTAAAAATCACAAACAAAAGAACGCCAAACATGAATATTCAATATAATATAAAACATTCCATCCGATAGAATTAGGCGAACAAATTCTCAGAAGCATCTACGAGTACATCGATGGCCTCAAAATGTTCGTGCCAAATATAAACACAGGGTACAGGACCCCCGCGCGGTCTATTTCGGGCGCGCCCCTAGGGTCGATGGCCGTTGCCCCGACAGTCCCTCCAGTCGGGGGGCGCTTTTTTTACTTATCTCACAGATACTGCACTCCCTTTCTGTTTTCGAATGGATTTATTTTATGAGAGTGCAATATCTTGTCCGTTTAAAGAGTGAAAAGTTTTGTCTAATTTTATTTTTATTGCCTTAATGAAATCTATATAAGTTTACGGCTCTTGAAAATGTACTTAAACAAAGTATTTTACACCAGAAAATTTGAGGCTATTTTTATGTATGGCAGTAAAAATTGTAATTTTAAATCTAAATTAAATTCATTCAATATTCTGAGCTAATGTTAGAGGTTATTTCCATATATTGAGTTTACTGAGATTCGGAACTATATTGAAAATTATTTTCAATACTTATATTTTTACTGCTAACTCTGACAACTTTGGCTTAAGTAATAGGCTACCCAGATATGATTTTCTAGAATTTTCTCTAATGCCTTTTTAGATTACTAATGTAATTTGTATTATAAAACATTACGATTCATACCGTCATATTTAGACACTGTTTTATATTTTTAAATAAGTATGTAATATTTAAAATATTTTATGAGAAAATACTTGGATAATATTTTTTATTTATAAGTCCTCTGTCCTTATCTTAAAAATAATACTTATTCAGAATTCAAACCCAAACTGTTCTCTGTGTTACCACACACAAGTTTATATCTAATCTCTTCGGAAAGTGATGTTATGTATTAGTACGAAACGTTACAAGAAAAGATTAGATTCATCCGAACCATATAGGTAATTTAGGATTATTTTCTTTAAAAAACACGATCGAATTATGGGTATCGCGAAGTATCTGCGGAGTTAATGATAGAGTCGCTATAAATCGGTATAAAAATGAGAAAAGTTCCGCTAGAATTGTTCGTACATTCCGGAAATGTGGAATCTGGATGAACCTAAGGATGAAGAAACACACGTAAAAGTGAAAAAACTTGGCTATCAGAGTTTGAAAATGGATGATAATGAAATAGTAACCCCACCTACGTTAGTAATTTATGCTGGAGGGATGCAGTGAGCGATGATAAGTAAGGCTGAAGCCAGGACATTTGACTCATTGTAACTAATTCATCTTAAATCAACCACGACGATTTTTAGGATCCCTTTACTTGATCCTTCGCGTAGTTGACCTGCTTTAATATATATTTAAGCAGGCCGCATTATAATTGTATGCAATATCTACTATAAAAATGATTTTTTTTTGTTGTAAAATTTATATGACGTCAATTTTACTTCAAATGTATTTTAAATTGTCTTACTGTAATCACAGCAAACATCGTAATGATTCTGAGTATAAACGGTATCTTACCTTGAGGTTCTATGTTGAGTAAATCAAATAAAGTGTATTGATAGCATGAAATTAGAACTTATCGCATGTACTATCCTTAATCTATGTAACTAGTGTTCCTAGAGAAAGAAAAATACATTTCATATTTCAAATCATTACTTCGTTTTAAATAGTAATTTGAATGGAGACCCTTTCCAAATTATAAAATAAAAAAATATACTCAAGACTATAATCGACGAAATAGTTTCTCGTTACTACTGGACTCTGGAAAATATTATGTTCATGTCGAGTACTTACCAATAAAAATGATTAATATGTGTGACTATCCCAAAACAGAATACTATCGTGAATATATTTTTATTTTCTACCATATTATAAATACTTAATTAAGCAACCTTTTTACAGGGAAGTATTAATGAAAATTAACTGATTATCGATTTGTTATTGGCCGATGCGTGATTGGTAACTGCATACATATATCTATAGATAATTTATCGTGATTGGTCAAGCTTTATTTAGGTCTAGAGGGAAATTCTATAAATCATGTCTCATGTTTGATACTTAATATGCCAATGCTTATTGGTGACGATGATATTTTTAAACATTTAACAAGTATATTTTACTCCACAAATTAAAAAACATGGATGCCCTACCAAGAAACGAACTATTTAAAAAGATATAGCCAGTGTCACTCGACATGATGTAGGGATTCAAACGGATACTTTATAAATTCAAATCTCATAAGGCATTTAGAAAATATGGTGGAATAAAGAAACTTACATATATACATGAAATCTGGTAATATTATATCCATTTTTGGGTAGTCATGTGATGTATAATTATTACAGTTTTACTTACTTTGAACATTTATTTTTTTTACTTAATTATCTAAAGGAAAACAGCCTAAGTGATTTATTAAAAAAAATTAAGTTAAAATAATGTATACATTCTATTAGAGTAGCCAGGAAACATTGGTTTCTATATATATTGCATAAGACTTCAGAAACACATCACGTGAGGTATAATTACATACATTTAGACACAATATGCGGACCTAGCGTACAAGTACTGTAACAGAACAACTTCACAAGGACGAAGATCTTCAGAATGTGTCATAAAAGATATTAGTTTTTGGCGAGTCAAGGTTAAAGAGAATAAAATTTATTATTTTTCTAAAATTTTATACATTTTGACTGGACACGCAATATAAAGTACTGGTTCCCAGAATAATAGAGCCAGAGAATACTTTAATCCTTTATATCACTGATTTTTTTTTTACTTTGGTACAAAGTAAAAAAAAAAAATACATTTCTTTTAACTTTATATAAAAATAGATGAGTACCGAAATATACACAATAAAGTTTATGGAATTAATTGACCAAATTGAACCACACGCATATAAAGTAAGTATATACAGAGATGACAAAAAAAAACAAAGAAGAAACCCTATAAACAGATAAAATAATATATATATATATTGTGTTGTGTATACAAGTTTTTTTTTTTATAAAGAATAAGATTTTGCAATATAAATTACATCAGAACACATACATTGATTTTTATTCAAGTAATTATGATTGTTTCCAAAAACAATAATGCAAATATATATTATTAATTAATATAATAAAATTATAATACCTACTTCATTATATTACAAAGTGATGAGTATGTAGATACATGACACTGTTCATATAGCGCGGAGAAAGCACAGCGTGGGGTCACTTGCCCTTACCTCGTATTGATTTTTATGTTCAACCGTCTTTTTGTTGTAACTTTTGTCGTGGGGGGAATTTTCCGAACTCCGTCTATCTCATTCGCGCTTAGGGGGAAACTTATCTAATTATATTTCGTACGTAATACGTGTATTAACAGGAATGTGAATATATATTTCTGAAATAAATAAACATAATGGATATTTATAATTTCACTTTTAATGGAAATTAGGATAAAGTCGATTCTATCATAAAAAAAAAAACTTGTTAAATAATGTAATAATACTAGAATATTAGATGATTAATCACTGCTTAGAATAATATAATTATGATATATTCGTGTTTTATATAATATTTGACTCCATCAAATAATAGCTATCGAGTCATTTAAAATAATTAAAAATTATGTCCCACAAAAAACGACTTCAATTATGACAAAACGAGTTATTTTGATTTAAAAAATAAACTATTCAACGAGTTTGGAAAAAATTCTATGAGACCAATTTGTAAGTATATCCTTTCAGATAAAAAGAATTTTCAGATAAAAAGAATTTTCCAAATCGTTGATTTAGAACTAACGGAGTTATGAAATAACAAACATAAAGAAAATGCAACCGAATTGAAAATCTCCTTATTTTTGAAGTCAGTTCATAATGTGTCATCATTTAAATAAGTACCCCCTTCGTTCTCATTAAAATGAACATTTTAATTAAAAAAAAACTAAATAAAAAAATATTTAACATTACTTTTAAGTGTGTGGTCCATTCTGATGTTCATATTACACATTTATGGCACGCTCAAGCAGTTCGAGAATGATAATAAATCAACTTTGTCTTGTTATGTTACGGGTCAAATTGCATTGTCTTTGCATTTTGTATTATTATTATCTTTCAAATGTCACACGTTATTACGAGTCATATACATGTAACTACTCTATATCGCGATGTTAGTAGTAAAACTTTTTTATTACGAATAGTAATCGATTATAATTGTTCATAAAAATCGAAATATTTTTTTAGTATGGTAATATTTTATAACATTAAAAAATATATATTTAAAATTAAATTCTATGTAAACTTGTATATTAAATGTAATAAAATGTGAGAGAACAATTCAATTCTAATACTTATTTTTATTACTTCATTGTACATTTATTTGATAATTAAAAAACATACTATGTCAGACAAGCACTACGAAGGTTTTGTATCTAAGAAGTATCAATAAATACGAAATTATTCTAACAAAATCAACATAATCTGCACATTATAGATTAGCTTAGTGAGAGATACAGATAATTAAAATTTATAGAAAAATATAAAACATAACTTACAGTTTTAACAAAATATTTGATCGTGGGAAAATACGAATTATTATAGATCGTTATCAATCATGTATTATGATTATTAGATTTAATACGATTCAATCTCAATACAGTTCTTTTTCATAATAAATTGCGTATGTCAACTGTCAACCGTACAATCCTACGACGTTACACAGAATTTACGATTTTTAATAAATAAAGGAAAAAATACCTATACGTTTACCATTTCTTTTATACAAAATATTCCATTTGAAATTGAAAAATCAGATTTGAAATATAGAAAATTATAATTGTGTGTGATCAGTTGTAATTCTTTATCTCTCGTGCATGTTATTGTTTTTAACCAACATCAAAAAGGAGATCCACAATTTTTTTTTTATATTTCATACCTCATAACTCTGTCAGTTATAAACAAATTTGTAAAATTCTTTTATTTAAAAGAATATATTTACACATTAATTCCATAGAACTTTTACATCAAAATCATTTAAGTAGTTTAAAGTCAATATAATTGTTTTTTTTTTTGTAACACGATATTAATTATTGTCATTAAGTTATACGTTTCACCGTGTGGTCCCGGCATCGAATGGGTGACCCGACCCTTTCCTAGATGTTATAAAAGGCGACTAAGGGAACTTAATGGTCGAGGGGTGTGACAGCAGCGTCCCTCTTAAAACATCACTTAAGCCTAACCGCGGTTGCCAATTCGTTTGCCAAGGGTGGCCACTACTGGCAAAAACCCACTTTTGAGAAGCCTATGTTCAGCAGTGGACAGTAGATAGCTAATATAATAATAATGAAGTTACATATTTGATTCTCATTTTATTTGTACAATGAACAGTGGCCCTTTAGAAAAAAAGTCTTAAATGTCCTTACAGATCTGTCTTTGCAAAATTCCACTCGCATCTTGGCAAATATGCCTATTTATGAACTGCATTTAAATTCATTTAGGTCAAGCCATGTACAGAATCTTGCTAGCATATGTTTGTTGTTCTAATTTGGGGATGGTTGTTTTCCATCAATTTTTTAATTTATAATTATGTCTGTATAACAATTATTTGTATTGAAATTGTAATAACAATAACACTACAGTTATTAACACAGATGTTTTAGAATTGCAAACAACAGCCGGTTGATGGAAAATGTTCATTGTCACATATAGACATCAACCTCTGTCACATTCATGTTTCAACTGTGTTTGCATGGCTGTGTTTGTAGGGTGGGATATGGAGTGAATTTACAGGGTACAGAGGAATAACACCTTAGTCCTTAGGAATGGCAACACATAGGGGGTATCATGGGCAAAACAGTATACTCTGTTACGTCCATGGTACTGCTCATGTCTCTAGGCGACGGTTACCACTTTCCATCAGGTGGGCCGTCAGCATGTTTGCCATTCTAAGTTGTATAAAAAAAGCGCTATGGGCATAACAGAATGCATTGTGACACCCATCATTTCTAAAATTGAAACACTGTGTGGAAAGTACTGTTGTTTAGCAACAACAAAACATGAGTGGGATAAATGCCCAAGCAAATAATTTTATATTAAATTGATTATAAAATATTTTTTTTTCTATTTTTCTTACAACTCATACTTTTCTCAATTTTATAATATATTGATTAAATGATGTCCATAGCTGGGGGGGATTAAGGGGCATTACCCTACCTTAAAAGGCCCAATGCCCTACTTTAAAATGAAAGGAGCCAAGAAATATAGACAGATTTGTTTATTCAAAGATCTTTTGCCCTACCTTAAATATAGGTCTAGCTATGACTCTGGATTAAATGTATTAATATCTTAACATTATTCACTAATTGTTGTTTTTTTTTTCTTTTCAGGTACACAATATAAAGGTTATTAGTGAGTCCCAGTATTAAAAAATATACAGTCTAGTCTAAATAGTTTCTACTTATTAATAATAATAATAATAAAAAAAAAAGTATTGTATGTACTTAAAAATATATTTTTACTAAAAGAAATCTGTGATACTTATATATGGAACTTTTTCGTGGACTTTTATACTCTGTGCAATTTTAAAATAGACTATTATATTGGCCAAAGATAATATAAGTACTTAAATAATTATGTTTTTACTGTATTGATTGATGTGCCCGAGTTCCCGAAACTGACACAAGATGGCGTTGCCACCCCAGCAGTTCTGCGTGAGGTGGAATTCTTATCATACAAACCTACAGGTATTTTTATTTTTCTAAATATAATTAAACAATTATGTGCTTGAGCAACTAAAAATATTTTACGTGTCTATTATAAAATAATTTTGGAAAAATATAAAATAGATTTAATAAAATATTTAAATTACTGCATTTTTCTTTTTTTATGCAACTTGGAATGACGAACCAGCTGACGGCCCTCCTGATGGAAGGTGGTAACTGTCGTCTATAGACATGAACAGTACTAAGGACGTAACAGAATACACAGTTTTGGCCATGGACAGAAGTTCATGTTACTGTTCATGTCTATGGGGACGGTTGCCGCTTTCCATCAAGTGGGCCGTCATCTTGTCTGCCATTCTGAGTTGTATAAAAAAAAAACAATTTTTGGACAATTTTCCACTGGTGATGTGAAATATTGGATGTGTTAAAGTGTGTGTGTGTGTGTGTCCGTGTGTCGGTGCGGCGCGGGCGGCAGGCGGTGTTCCCGCGGCTGCTGCTGACGGAGCAGTTCGCGGACGTGACGCTGGCGTGCGAGTCGCGCCAGCTGCGCTGCCACAAGCTGGTGCTGTCCGCCTGCTCCGCGTACCTCGAGCGCCTGCTGCTGCAGAACCCCTGCAAGCATCCCATCGTGCTCATGAGGGACATGAGGTGAGGGCCGCATCTATACATGTCATCTGGACTCAGGCCTAGAATAGACCTTTGTCTCTCCTTGTGAGCGTGGTAAAAGGGAACCATGTACCAGGGGATGAACAGAGGTATTCCATTGTAAACTGTAGTTGCGAAATGAATTCTTCTGTGAGCTTAAAAGAGGCTGCAAGGGGGAGGGGTGTGATAAAATCTCATTTATAAAGAAGGGGGAGGGGGGATAATTAAATTTAATACCAGCCCTAATTTTACTCTAACATAATAGTCATTTATTAAAAAAAATGAAATGACATTCCTTCCAAGACCTATCAGGTCCTTCTTTCTTCCTTAAATTAGAGTATACAGTTTTAGTTAGGCCCCATCACTAACAATTCCTTTTCCTCCCTGATGTTCTTTTTTTTTTGATTGGTGAAAATGGTATGGTAACCCCGCCTGTGCTAACGGGATACGCTAGCGGAGCACCAGTGAAGGGTGATAAATGAGAACGGAAACAGGCCAGTTAGCCCATCATGATGAATTCATCAGGAATTAACCATGATAGTTTCCAGGGGGTACCGCGAGGAGGCCGACCTGGTTGGGTATATTGCTAGTAATAGGAGATGTCCTCTTATTTGTATTAGTGTACTTTATTAACGTTTGTGCATTGTTATAGATTCAGTGAAATGCAAGCACTGGTGGACTTCATGTACAAGGGCGAGGTGAACGTAACGCAGGAGGAGCTGCCCAGCCTGCTCAAGTCCGCTGAAGCCTTGCAGATCAGAGGTACGTGGCAGTGTTGTTTTTTTTATATAGAATTTATTTTGTGCTACAAAAAAACCGTCACTACGTTACAAACGTCACCATGGAATATACTGTGACGCCTATAGTATTCTTCCTGCGTTGCCATTCCTGAGGACTAGGCTGTGTTTTTTTCAATCCATAATAATGGAATGGTAGCCCCTCAGCGTAGCGTATACCGTATGCGTAGGCGATGTGGGATCGTATTTGAGAATGAAAAGGCAGTTTAGCCTTTTGTGATGAATTCAGCTGGAATTCAGCACGATGGTTTACAGGTATATGCCTGCAATGGGACTGGTAGTCCACATTACTACAAACTCTTACCCCCCGGACTAGAATTTTTTTTTAAATAGATGACAATGGAATGGTATCTCCATCTGCGCTAACGGTATCGCATATACTGAACCACATGGAGGTCGACTTTGGACTGTTAGACTCCATTACTAATGATCCGTTTCTCCTGGTTTATTTGTCCTGCAGGGCTGTGCTCGAGCGACACGTCCGCGTTCACGTCGGAGGCGGGCAAACCTGAGACCAAGGACTACACGGTGGCCAGCGAGGCGCTGGTTGCGCACGCACAGAGTGCCGCCACCAACGGTCAGTATTCACTGCAGTTCCATTTTTAAAACAAAAAAATATTATGGATTAATTTCCTCCCACAAATGGAGGTTATGGAATGAGCTCCCTAGTCATGTTTTTCCAAGAGTCTATGGGGTTCTTCAAAAAAGGGGTAAAGAGATTTCTTCAGGGTCAGCAATGCCTTGTATTGCAAGTGTTTATAGGCTACGGTAACCGCTTACCGTCAGGTGGGCCATATGCTTGTTAGTCACTTAAGTGGCATAAAAAAAATTATGGAATACGAGAAACAAACTTTTTTTTTTATAGAATGGCCATAAAAAGAATATGACTGTAGTTGATCTCCGCTTAACCCTAAGTAACTTAGTAACCCCTGCGCCTGCGCAAACGGTGTACGCTGGCGGAGCACCAGTGAGGGATGATAGGTGAGGATGAAAAGGCTAGTTTTTTTTATGGGTGATAATGGAATTGTAACCCCGCCTGTGCTATCGGTATACACTGGCGGGGCACCAGTGAGGGTTGATAGGTAACAACGAAAATACAAGACAGTCCATCTTGGTGAATACACTTGGAATTCAGCACGGTGGTTTCCAGGGGGGACCACGGGGAGGCTAACCTAGTTGGGTATATAGCTAACAATAGGACCTTTAGTCTCCGTTACTAACAATCCCTTCCCCCTCTCACTAAAGCATTGATAGTATCAATAATGTGTACATATAATACACAGGACCGAGCCAGCAGCAGAAACCGGCGAACAGCAGCACGGCGAACGGGCCCAAGAAACGCAAGTCGGAGGAGAGGAGCGAGGTGAAGCAGGAAACGGTGGAGGAGGACGGCCTTTACTACGGCGAGCTCGACAACGACAACATGGAGTTCAACGAGGTGAGCCGCGCTGTTTGATAACGAGTTTTGTTTTAATTTGTCTTTTTTTAGTATAAATTTTGCTTCATTATATTTTATAACCCATTCATAACTATATGTATAAGTTTTTGTTTTTATACAACTTAGAATGGCAATCAAGCTAACGGCCCACCTGATGTAAAGTGGTAACCGTCGCCTATACACATGAGCAGTACCATTACGGTTACCACTTTCCATCAGGTGGGCCGTCAGCTTGTTTGCCATTTTAAGTTGTATAAAAAAAAATCCTAACTTCATCATCATCATCATATTACTGTTCACTACAAAACATAAGCCTCCCCGTTTGGTGGTTTTGCCAGGTTTTGGCAGTAATTGCCACACTTGGCAGGTGGGTTGTCAACCGCAGTTAGGCTTTAGAGATGTTTTAAGAGGGACGCTGCTGCCCATCCCTCGCCCTCCTTAGCTCTTATGACACTCACGGGAAAGGAAGGGGTGGCCTATTCTATGCCGGGACCACACGGCTATCCTATCCTATCTTAGAATATAATAGTATCAATGGGATTAAATTGACCATAGATATGCATTTTCTAGGACGAGGAACCGGCAAAACCTGGCAGCAGTTTAGGGCAGACTTCCGGTGAGTTTTTATAAGTATTGACTTTTTTTTAAGAGTTTTATTTTATTTATTTTTATTAAAAAAAAAAAAAACAATTCAATGTTTGTTTGCAATGTGACTTCTGTCTTGTCACTTGCTATTTTTTTTTTAAGAAATCTTTTTTTTTTGCCTTTAAATCGGATTTGCCGCGCGCGTTCTTATCTATCCGTGTATTATTCGATTGTGTGAGTGTAGCGAAGATCATATTGTGAATGGACATTGTAGAATATTAAAAACGAATGTCTGTAAGGTAGGCCATTTTATTATTATAATATTTTGCAATTGGATATTTTAATAGTTAAATTCGTAGAACCATGAATGTACGGTGTTTTTTTTTATTTTGTCGTCCTGTTTACAGGACTATCTTACAGACATTTGTCTTCGGTTCTTGATTATTTTCTTTTCTGTTTAGCGTTACATTCATGGTTCGCGGTGGGTTTGAGAGAGCAAACTAATTTCTATTGTCTTTTTTTTTTCAGGGCGCCGCGTCCCCTTCATCAGAGTGAAGCCGGAGAGCGAATTATTTTTCCAAACAAAATTACAGAATTTAGCAAAAGCGAATACGGATTACATTAACAAGTTGTCGAAAATGAACGCCACGGAGATCCGGAACGAGTTTTCGAAATATGGCTTCAATACAAACGCCCCGTTGGACGATGTGTCAAAGAATGCCGACAGTTCGGACAAAATTGAGAATGATTACTATAAAAACTGGCTAGAACAGAATGGGGAACTGGAAGTGTCACTTTTGAAAGCGAACCAGATAAGGAAGCCTAAAGCGGAGATAAAAAGCCAAAAGTCCGAAGTGGAGTTGATACCGAAAGCAAAAGACGGTGTTGCCACTAAAGATATTTTCCCGAAAATTTGGGAAAAGCCAGCAATCCGAAAAAGGGGTAGACCACCTATTTTTAAGGACAAAAACGTAGATATAGGAGAGACTGTTTTGAAATCTGATTTGGACCAATTTTTAGAGGGTAAAGAAGTGAGTTCCTCAGGGTTGTCACGAAAGGACTTGGAGAGAGTCATGATGGGCAAATTTAATCCTAATAGAAGGTATTCTAACGAGGCTATGTGGGCAGCCCTGATGGATGTGAAAAAAGGAGGGAGTATTTATAGGTAAGTCTAATAAAATTTCTTTACAACAGATAAGTTTGTATATATATATATATATATATATATATATATATATATATATATATATATATATACGGATATATATAGATAGATATATAATGGTTGTAACTTTTTATTTATGAGATATATGTGTGTGCTATTTCCAAATGTATAAATGTAACGTACGTTTCAGAGCGGCGCAAACCCACAAAGTACCAAGGAAGTCCCTCCGCAATTGGATGAAGAGGTGCCACATAAAGTCCTCGTTTCCAATGCCTCAACAGCTGAAGCAATTCGTCGAGAATAGTAAGAAACAAAAAGAGTACACATACCAAAGCGCTGAGAACCAAAACGCCGAGCGGAGCGGCGCCGAGACAGACCTGCCGCCGTACGAAACAGAACTGGACTTCGGCAAACATTTCCTTAGCTTCGCTAATTCCGTGTCCAGTGAGGACGAGAGCTTAGTTTTGCCGAATAACGGGGAACAGTTGCCGGAGAGTGGGGAAACGGATGGCAACACTGCAATAGATATGTCCGTACACGAATAAGTTGATACATTAAGTATCTTATTGTCCATTATTGAACGTCTTGTGGGTGCCTATTTATGAACTAGAAAAGTAGTAAATAAAAAAAAAATGTTACTTTAAAAAATGAAATGTTAAATGTATAGTTTTTTCTTCAATTGAAAATGTTGAATGGTGTTTTTTTTTTCTTTTTGACATTTTGGAAAATGTCTTTTTTTTTAATATTACGCAAAACATTAATAAGTATTACAGATTACGTGTAATACTATTTCGAAGTAAAATAATAGATTTCTTTCACCAATGAAAACTATCTCGATGCAGTACACGTTTCACATTTTGATGAGTTTACATGTTTAAAATTAAAAAAAAAAAATTACTTTAGGACAAACGAAATTAAATTAGAAAACGAATCGCATAAAAAAAAATCGATTTGAAATATGAGATAAATATTGTAACTCATTAAAATAATAAAAAGTGAGTGTTGCCAGTTCAACGCGTATACGAACTTTATAGTAATAAAAAAAAACTGCCAAAGAAATTTCAAAGATTTGTAAAATTATCTATGGTTCAGTGTGAACACTATACATATATATATATTTACCCAAAGAATGTTGACTTTTTACGTTTAAAAATTAATTTGCCAAATTTAAGGAAAAACTACATTAAAATGTACGTTAAATTAAGACCCCACTACATTTGGGTCTAAAAGAAAAACACGAAATGGGCTTATTTATTAAATTATTTCAATAAAAATGTATTAATAAAATTATATAATTGCCTTAAAATTTGGTAAAATTAATAATATATTTTTCCTATATGTTTTTTTTTTCGGTTCCCGCAATATTTAATCCAAAGAAATCTTTTTATTAAGATATTAAACTGTTATGTTTTGTTTATGTAAAAAAAAAATGTAGTTTTTTTTTTCACTCTAATGGGGAGAAGAGCATAGACTAAAATATATAATATACCGTCTATGTATCGACTAAAATATATATATATAAATATTTTTTTTTTACATAAACAAAACATTGTTACTGTATTATTATTTATTTTAGTTGCGTTTCATTATAAATTAGAATTTATAATGTAGTTGTAAGAGAATTAACGTTAACATTACTCGAGGAAACTGAATTTGGCCTTTTGAGAAATAACGAGTGCTTGATAAGGACTACGTCCATTACAATGAAAAGACTTGATAAATGAAATTTTTAGCTTTTAAAGTCTGTAAGTTGTTGTTATAGCAGTTTTTTTTTTTTAAATATATATTTTATCACGCTATACAGTGCTTGTGATGTTATATAGGAATTATTAATATATAAATGCGAATCAAATTTATGAATTATGGATGTATGGGCATGTGTACTAGGCACAGAGCAGAGCTTTTTAAAAAATAAAATACTTTTTACTGGATCTCTCTCTCTCGCAGGCTCTGTTTTGGTACTCGAATAATTAACTATGTGAGATATTATTGAAGGTTTGCTGGTTTCAATACAGAAATACTTGAAATAAGTATTTTTTTATTCTGTTTTTTTTTTCTTTTTTTTTATAATTAATATTGAAATGTTGGTTATGACAGATGAGGGTGAAGTCAGATAAATTGGAACATCGTGATGAATTCAATAGGAGTTAACCACGATGTTTTCCAGATAGGACCGTGTGAAGGTCGACCTGACGGGGTATATTGTTAGCAATGGGGCTGCCATTCCCCATTACTGATTCCTCATCTAAATATTTTCTGTCGGTTAATTAAAAAGGAAATCGATGTATTTTTAATTCCACAACTAAGATTCGGGAATGAATAGTGCTTTACTATTGTTTTTATTTTAATATCACGAACGAGCGTGAATGAAACTGCTATAACAAATGTTAATGTAAAATAATAAAAAAAAAAGCTTAAAGTATTTCTTGAACATGTATTAAGTAACTTATTTTCGTTTTTAATAATAAGTACTTAAGGTTCATTTTGGCATCGAATAATTGTATCGACGGTCTATGTAAACGATGTTTCAGTGGGGAGACAATTTTGTGTTATGAAAAATAACCGTTGAAGCGTATTACACAATAGGATAGTTGGCTAACACTCTTTTTGTTTATACCACAAAAGTGGCAAATAAGCATACAGGTTGTCGGGTGGTAATCCACCCCTAAATATTTTTTTTTTAATTTTTTTGACAATTTTTTATTTTTATTTTATTATAATTTAGCATTGTAAAATACATACAAATTCAAATTTTCACGCTTTTATGATCAACCCCTGTTTTTTAATCGCAATTTTAATATATGCCGCAATAATTACGTTTGCCGAGTCGATATATATATATATATATATATATATATATATATATATATATATATATATATATATATATATATTTTTTTTTTTTTTTTTTTTTTTAATTTTTTTTTGTGCACATATTTGCACATATTTTTAGGCCACTTCCAAATGAAGTTTTTTTTAGGGATTATGTCAGTAGTCCAGAATCGCAAGAATCCAAACTATATCTATCCTGTAAAAATTTTGTAAGAAGATAACAAACAAAAATGTCCACAGACTATCCTGTTGTGTATGAGCTTTATTTTTTTTTTTTGTTTACAATGAATTATAATAAATCAACGATAATTTTACGGGCCTAATAGCGCCATGTTCCTTATTTGTCTGTAAGTTTGAGATGCCGCGCTTTGAAGTTGTTTTGTTTTAATTATACAGGGTGCGTTTCGTATATTCATATATATATATATATATATATATATATATATATATATATATATATATATATATATATATATATATATATATATATATTAGAGATCGTTCACTATACTACTTGTTTGTATATAACTCTATATGTAGTTAAACTCTCCCCCTTATTCATAAATCGTCACAGTCGTAGAATACCGACGGATCTTTATATGTAATATTTATCAGATCCGTCAGTATTCTACCACTATGACGAAATATGTCAAACCTCTAATTATTTGAGCTATTGAACTGTTTGTCTCTTTCTTTTGTGCTAAATTTCTAATTGGAGAGAAAGTGACAAAAGAGTTTTAAATTTAGAAGGTTTCACTCTTTATGACTAAGAGACTATGCATGTACGAAACGAATCCGAAATCCATAAAGTGCCTACTAGTATATAAATATACATAAATATTTTAGTATATAAGTGGCTAATATATAAGTATACAACATTATTTAATATTGTGCGCCCAGTATTATGTTGCTGTTTCTCTTAATTTATGTACTTAAATAGTGTAATATTGTCTTTGTATAAACACACTTTACAAACGTTGGGTAGACGGAGTGGTAATCGGTTATTGTAAAAAACTATGGCGCATTCCGTACAG